CCTCGTAATAAACAAATAATTCTTACTTTTTTACGAAATCAAATGGACACATATTATCAGGTTGTCATAAAAAGCAAAAATTTATTTTTTTAAGGTTCTGAACGTAAATTGTACCTTCAAAACAATTTGATTTCTTTTAAAAAGAGTTGAACTCAATAAAAATACCTTTGAATCTTCAAATTATCTCGAAAACTAATCGTTACAAAAATTTTCTTTAAAAAGAGATGTAAAGGTATTCGAAAGACCTTTAAAACAAGGTGCCATTCGACCTACTTTCCCTATCTAAATAAGGGTCGTCGGACGCACCCCTCCGAGGGGGTGTGTACTACAAAAAATCTGATTTGTCTTCAATATGTCCCCCTTCAATTAGAAATCGACGTGTCCGAACTTTTTTTTAAAAATCTTACTGTTTATATTCAAAAACGGCTCTGTTAAGTCTTCGTTGTTACACACTGTATGTCAAAATAATATAAAATAATGAAAAAATGTGTTCAGGATGAAAATTTATGGGCTGTTTGCAAGATATCAAAAAATGTAACTACTTAAAGGTCGTTGTTTAGAATAGGTATCGAAATAATTTGTATTCACTCAAAAATAAAATTCACAGAACGTAATATCATTGGTCTGCAAAAACTGTATTCTTCCAAAGTACCTTCCACAAATTAAAAGGGTTATATTTTTAGGAGTAATTAATTTTTGGGAAATAAAGTTTTTGACTTTCTACCTTGATACAAAAAAATGTGGGAATCATCCAAAGAAAGAAAGGAAGCAAACTTTACTTCACTGCTACTTTAACTAAACTTCGGACTTTACTCCAAATGTCTATCGCCTTATTAGAACACTTCTTACCGCACTTTCAACTAATCTTGCTCGATCTGCGTGTTGATAGCGTTCATATATCGTACTGGAAGTCTCTGGAAGCCGATAGGGAAGTCCCTGGAAGATTTTCGAAGCTAAGCGAGTTGAGCGCGACCTTGGCCAAGTCGCAATCGATTGACGAAGACCAGCGGCGGCCGGCGTTATTTTTTTAGGGGATGATTCACAACATACTCGCATGTTCTCTGAATGGCTGTTCTCGTCTTTTCGTGGTTTGTGGCTTCTGCTTGTGGCGACTAATCATACCTATCAACCTATCTGCATTTGAAGAATTGAAATATAATTTTTCGTCTTAGTGATATCTCATGTCTGCTTAATTTCCTGTTTACAAAAATCGGTGGTTTCAGTAAATCCTGTTTATCTAATTATCCTTTTTTTCTCCTCCTAGATATGACACCCCTACCCGACCGCGGACATCATCCTACAGCAGCAGGTCGAGCATAGCAGCGAGTCAGGTGACTTCGGTGCTGCAATCGCCTGGCACCCCTGGGTCTGTCACCCCCCGGGGCTCCAGTTCCCGTTCGCGCTCCGCCCGTTTCGCCGAGTACTACGACCAAACCCTCGATTATTCCGAAAGACACTTTCGGAGCTACGACGAGTACAGCCAGGGATCGGCGGCGTCTCACGACGACGTCTACGAGCACGAGTACGCCTTCGTCCACGACAGTCCCACGCACCTCGACCCTCTGCAGGGCATGGTGGACACCGTTGTCCCCTTCGCGCCGCCGGACATGAGGAACCTGCAGAAGGAGCGAGTGCACTTGCTCGAACAGTTGGAAGAATGCCCGAGTTCCGGAGACGAGTTGATAAGCCCCAAAAAACGACTGAAATTAGATTTACTAGACTCTGCTATGACTAGCGACGTGATCATAGAGGCCAACAGGGATCACAGGTATTTTATGTGTTTCATACAGCTGGGGCAATAAAAGAATATTCATGCGTCGTCAACACCTAAAGCGATAAAAACACTTACTTTTATATAACATATTGATGACACTTTACTATCGTTTGAGTAAGCAATTAATGCTATTGATTGAAAAGTTTCTATGGATAGGTTGTTTGGAGCAGAAGCTACGTCTCTTAGTTTTTATTACTTTGTCCACTTATTGTGGATGCACAGATTGATGACGCATGCGTAATCCATTGTCCCTAGTATATATTTGCCCTGTTTCATACTGTGTAATACATCATGACTTACTCATACTATAACCAGAAGGAGCACGGCTGATGATGATTGAATAGTGTGATAGCGCACCTACTTCGTGAATACAATGGTGACCACGATAAAGAAATGAAGTAAAATGCATTCTAAACAATTCAGCATTTCGATAATCACCCTAACAGAATCGTTACAATGGTCACTACACAAAAGTTATTCTTTTGAAATATTTTTGTGAGCAAACGGAAACTAGGGATATCTTCATCAAGTGACTGGAGAATTTTTTCACAATGAAATATTTGAAGGGTACTATGACAGAAGTTGTGATGTTCCTTGGTTGTTAGAGCTCATTGTCTAGCTTGATCTCTTTGATAAGGCTCCATAGCCTTGACACCGACCCCTTCATATAGCTGGCAGCCTCTGGTTTCTCTTCCCCGCTTCTTGCGTGTCTCAGCCTTGCTATCGCTTCGCATTCACAGAGCATATGCAGTGAGGTTTCTTCTTCTTGTTGACAGAACCTGCAAAGGGGTTCCTTCTGTCAGACACATATTGCTCATGTTTCCTGAGCCAGCTATGCCCTGTTAATAGACCCACCACTTACAACCTCACGGTTGTGGTTTAGCAGGTCTTCCGTGAATCTGGGCGATGGTTTCTTTATGAATTCTTTCGCCTGCCTCATTTCTGGGAGCTTATTCCACCATACATGCTTTTGCTACCACAGAAGGGTTCTGGGCCGATCGTAGCCTTGGATGCGCCTTCTGTTCTGTTTAAAATCTGTTTTTTCCGTTAATCAGCTGTCGCCCCCATACGAACGACAACTCTCTTCACGGGCTAGAACTTCGACATTGCTCTTGTGACCCTCACGTCCGGGTTCCTAAGCTAGAGTGACCCTATTTTGGGTACTTAGCTCATTGAGTTCGCTCAGACAGCTTCCCACCAGTCTTGAGAAGACTTGAAATAGACTGATCGCCTTAATTACCGCCTGGCTGTCGGAGAAAATGGCAATGGTTCCACTTGTGACCTTCTGCCTGTTCATTTCCCCTTTACAGTGTTCGATGGCCGTTACTTCTGCCTGGAACACAGTTGTATTAAGTGGTAGATACATTATATTGGTATGTAACATCACAACCTTTCTACAATCTAATAAACCAATGATCAAATCATATGATGCTCTATAGAATATAATTGAAGAACTTTCACACTATACATCCAAGGTGAAGACATATCTTATTTTACGATACGATAGAGGACTAGAGAAGACACAAGATGAGATTAAGAAATAGTCAATGCAAAAGTTCCAACAAATACATAGTTAAAAAGTTCGCTAGTAAACTAATATGGTCGATATCTCAAGAACCTAGTGACGAAACCATCTCCATTATAAAATATACTATGGCTTACTGGACAGAGCAATATCAAAATGTTTTCGATTTAATGAAACAAGAGATCACTTCAAATTGAATTAAGTGGATAAATTGTACTGTGTTAGCAATTGTAAAGAAGGTCAGTTTGGTTTCTGACTGAAGCTTATGGTTGTGATGAGACTTTAATATTTAATTATGTGGAACTGCATGAATTCTTCTTTGCCAAACTTTGAAAACACGAATTTGTTGATTGCTTTATGTATTCTGAGTAACTTTTTTCATTTTGTTGCTAGTTTTGAATCTTAAAAAGATATGGACGAAATCATTTGCTGATACATAAAGGGTAGGTTAGGTTAGGTCTGAAGTGAGTGGGTCTATTCGATCCTCCAACGCAACCCGCAAGGGTTTTTTGTGGCTCACACCTGTTCACACTCGGCCAAATAAACCCAGCTTCTTAACGAAGCCGACTAGTTTGTATGGTTAGTGGTCTATCAGGTCAGATGGTAAGAGTACGGCTCTGCCACACTCTAAGAACCTGATTCGGTCCCCAGCGGGACAGGCACAAAGTATATGGTCTGCTGTTTCATCATTTTCCAAACAGAGGCGACACACACTGTCTTCTGACAGTCCAAGTCTTTGCATATGACGATTCAAATGACGGTGACCTGTAAGAAGGCCTGTTGGACATCATAGTTCATCCCTACTGTGGTCCAACAACTATTTGGTATCAAGCTTCGAAGGGTGAATAAACGCCTTGTAGTGAGCCAATCCTGGAAGATTCTGCCAGAAGTCCATAAATCTTCTTGCCATCCAGGTGTTCAAAATTTGTTTGGCAAAGGCCAAAGCGGTGCCAATGACAGGTTCTGGTCCGATGAAGCTACTTGCACCACCCTCCTTTGCAAAGGAGTCAGCAGCTTCGTTAGCTTCCTAGCCAGTATGGCCAGGAATCCAGACCAGTGAATGACCATCTGTTAAGTCTTCCTATCGAGGAGAGTCTTTTTTGACAGTTTGCTACCAATTTAGACGTTGCTCGGCAGGAGCCAAGAGCTTTCAACGATGCTTGACTGTCCGAGACTATTTTTATTGACTTGTGTGTGAGGTTGGATTCATCCAATCCCTCCGCACACACTTCAATAGCGTAAATTTCCGCTTGAAATACAGTCGCATAAGTTCGTAGGCAGGTAGATATCTCTGTCCTGGGTCTGCGACTAAAAACACCTGCACCAGAACCGGAAGGCGTTTTTGGTTTATCTGTGAACCAACAACTATCTGCTCTTAATATTTCCTCTCTACTCGGGGACACATAAAGGGTAAATACAATCTTTTATTACCTGATCGATATTTATTGTTGGCGAATTATTTGTGCAGTTATCAAGGGTATTATCACAAGATAATGCCCTTGATGAGGGCATCAGATATAATACAAATACTTTTGAAGGCGTTTGCAAATGCATCCAGAATTTCCTGCGGTTTGGTGTAAGTTTTAGTTTCATCCTTCATAAAACTGAGAATTTTCGAATTACCTCTTGTTCTGCATTTACTTCCAAAATGCACTCCATTAATTCTGTGTTCAATTTCGTCAAGGACGTTTTCATAAGCATTGTTTATTCGTTCTTTCACTTCTCAACGCGATAAATTGCTGCTGATAGAAGGATGTTTTTTCAGATTTTTTGGGCCTCTTCTTTCTTATGAATGTTTTTAATTATATTTGGTGTGAACCAGGGCGAGTATCTTTGATACAATAATGATTGAATATTGTAATATCGAACTTTAATTCGTAAATTCGACAATAGGAAAGTGATGGAGGTGAGACGATTGTCGGACGTCAGTTTGAAGCACCACTCGCGGAGACCCTCAATCGACTCTGGGAAGCACTTGCGACACGACGTGGGATACCTGCCACATACGGTTTGCAAGAGAAGAAAGACAGCCGGCAGCGATAGCGGATCCAAAATGCACCACTACGACCACTCGGGATCGGAAAGCGTAGGAGGTTCCAGACCAGGGACGCCTCTGTGTGACGAGAGGCCGGAAAATTTCCAGCCCAGCGAACCGCGGAGGGTGCCCCGGGAAAGGGAAGGGCCGCTCACACTGCCGCTGCCGAGATTTGCCGCGCAAATTATGAATAGAGGTTAGTGAACATATGATCTACTCACATAAGTCCAATTATCATTGCTCTCTTTGTATATAAGGAATTCTTTCACAGCCAGTAATAGTTCATGAAAGTTTTTTTTGACCTTCACCTTCACTTTTTCATATAATTTTATAAAAACTAACTGTCCATTCAAACGCTATTGAAATCTTCTTTAATTCACAATGACATTCAGGTACGTTTTAGAATTCAAAAATAATATAGTTGAGTGAGTGATTGTCTAATAATGAAAAGCAAATACGAGGTATGTTCGAAAAATAAGGTGATTTTTTTTATGTTTGAACACCCGTCTCGAACATATAATGTTTGAGTTTCAGATGTTTAGCATGTTTAATTTGTTGGTGAGAGGCATAAAAGTTCAATTTTTTGCTATCAAAAAAATAGATCAAAAATTTTGCATAAAATTTTGTGTAAAAATGGAATTAAGTGCTCAAAAACTCTTGTGATGTTGGCAGTGGCATACGGTGATTGTACTCTGACTCAGAAAGATGTTTACAAGCTTTTCACAGAAGATATGAATCACATCATCAACAGCACATCAACAACCAATGAAAATGTTGGGAAAGTGAAGAAAATTGGTATGGAGAATCGTCGAATCACTATTGGAAAAATTGTTGGCTGTCGTGCAATTTTTTTGGAAATCTTAGGCAGGACCGTGTGGCAGCGAAGTTCGTTCAAAAATTGCTGAATTTTGACCAAAAAATCCGTCGCATGAGCATCGCTCAGGAATTGTTGAATAACGTAAAGGCGATCCAGTTTTGCTGAAAAAGGTCATAACTGGTGACGAATCATGGGTATATGGTTATGACATAGAAACCAAAGTCCAATCGTCCCAATGTAAGATCTCAAAAAAGGCAAGACCAAAAAAAGCACGCCAAGTTCGATCAAATAAATTTTAAGGTTTTGCTCCCTGGTTTCTTGGATTTATGTGGCATAGTACACCAAGAGTTCCTGCCACATGGTCGTACGGTCAATAAGGAGTATTTTCTTTAAGTTATGAGCCGCTTGCGAGATGCAATACGAAGTGAACGTCAGGTATTGCTGAAAAACAGTGCATGGCTTTTCCATCACGATAATCCACCTGCTCACTCGTCATTGCTTGTACGTAATCTTTTTGCCAAAAACAGCTCTGTATTCATGCCTCAGCCACCGTATTCACCAGATTTGACCCTCTGAGATTTTTTCGGTTCCCAAAATTTAAGACGAAAGGACGGCGTTTTGCGATGATTGATGAGGTAAAAACCTAATCGATGAGAGAGCTGAAGGACATACCAAAAAGTGCATATCAGAACTGATTCGAAGATTGAAAAAAACGCTGAGGGGGGGACAAAATAGAAAATTCACCTAATTTTTTTTAACAGACCTCGTAAAATATACAGGACAATTCAGGATTATAGGTACTGACCACTATCACGTTAACATCCCTTCATCATGGAGTTGCAGGATATATTTGTATGAATCCATTTCCCTATATTAGAGTTCATGTACATGCAAACAAATTCTCAAAAATATAATTTAGTATTTGGAATCAAATCATTTGAATATTCAACTGAAATTGATCTTTTGAGATAACATTGATATAAATTCATCGTGCTTTTAGAATATATTGAGAAACTGCAAAACTTATTGACATTGGGTATACTTTACAAAATTTCAAATCAAGTACCGCGGGCATATCGTAGAAAATGTATATATTTTTTATTAATTAATTCTGAATTACAGCATCTTGCTTCTGTATACGGCACAGCAAAAATATTTATTTTGTTACTATTGAAAACTTTTCAGAATAAGTTCATAAAACACATTTTTCATCTAGACAATTGTGAACACACTGAAACTTCGGGAATGTTTTTTTGTATAAGTGTAAAATCGTCATTCACAAATTTTTGGAATTATCCGCTGAAAATAAATGACTGACAGAAGAAATCTGTACCTGGCTCCCGGACTATAAGTTTTCTTGATCGGAGCCTCGTGGAACTAATTGCAATCTTATCTATCTGCAATTCAATTACTGAGTAATATTTACAAACTCTCTTCATTATCTCTGCATATTTTTGTTTACCAGTTGGAATTATTTTAATAAAATTATATTTGAGTTCCATGATAACAAATCCTAATTCATTCTATTTCGTCTTATTTTCAACTAATATATTGTGAGCTGCGCGTGTTGAATTTTACATATCCCAGGATCTTCACATTTCTTTATAAGGGGCTATTCTTATTCAAGTCTAACCTTGGAGATTTCACAAATAGTATGCCGTTAAATTATGGCAAAGTTGTCTATTTTAGAAAATAATTGAATGATGCTAAAAAATCAACTATAGCTTCTCTGGTGCCTGAGATTTATGGAAAAAACAGAAAATTTCAAAATTAAATATTTGTAATACATACTCTCAAAAAAAATCAGGAAGAGTTTAGTGTAATTATAGTATATGAACATTACTGAACAAAAAATCGACACAAAAAATACAGGTCCGAATTTGAAAGTTCATGGTGCTACAAGTTGGATGACATTCTGTATAAAAATTCTATCAACATGTATAGCAAATTGAAACTTTTCGTGACAGTTCAATCAGGTTTTCAATATCTCGACTAACACAGAAGATATAGCCAATAATAGAATTTGGAATTTTCTCATTATTTTCCTGAATCAAAACAGCCAGAGTCGATTTTTTGGTATCATTCAATAGTATCCGAAAATAGGCACAATTAAATTTACTGTCTCTCATACAATTGACGAGATTCTTATTCTTAGAGATGAATTTGAATAGCCCTGTATTAGAAATCATAATTCCCTAATAATTTAGATTATTCCACTGTGATGCACAGCAGGGTTCAAAGCGTCTCAAGTATTCATGATATTACTCTGGTCCCTGTCAAGTATCTACCTGTCGGTTTTGTCTATCAGGTTATCAATTCTATATATTGAACACTGATATTTTCAGGAATATATCGAGTTGGTTTTATTTAGATTTCTAAACACTGCAGGGTAGATGTATATTATCTCCCAAAAAGCTATATTGTTGAATTTTGTTATGGGTACTTGAATCTATTGACCATTGGTAGATAGCTCAAAAAAAAACTTCGACTCTATTCAAGGACCAACAATAAACTCAAATATTTGTTCAAAAATTCCAGGTAGTGTTTCAGTAGCAGGTATCAAAGGACAAAAGGACAACGTACTCTCGAGCCCCCCTCCCGCAGTTACAAGCCCTAGAATATCTAATCCGAGACCTACTACTCCTGTCCACGTCCCCCCACCCGCATCCCCTCCTCCGCGACCTCCCAGCTTGAGCTCCAACTCGAGCGACAGTGATGTCACCCCACCTAGTCCATCTCTAGAGGAACGCATCAAGTCTCTGGACGAAAAATACGAGAAATGGTCCGGATCCAGGGCGCTGAGCGCAGCTGGAGGAGACGCCTTGGCTCTGCTCGACGCCAACCTTGAGAAGTTCAGGCAGCGTCACAAAATCCTTGATCTAGACCTGAAGGAGGTACAACCTTCGGAAATCGTCAAATCTGTCATGGCGAAACGATCCGTTTTCGATGAAGACCTGAAGAGGTTGGAGAATGTCGGGGAGAAATATGAACCCAAGGATTTTTCGTTATTTCCGAGGAGTACAATCACGGTACAGACTCCAGTACCTACGACACCTCTTCCGGCGCTGAAGCTAGCACCAGTTACTCCGGTACCTAAAACACCCACGATGCTGTCACCAAGATCATCTGGTAAGTAATTGTTTGAATTCATTGGGTGTACAGGCTCCTTTGTAAATGAACCAAGTAAAAAAATTCATGTGCCATTGATTGAAATTTATGAAGTACTGAAACCTCTGGATTAGATGAACTGTTATCTGAAGGCTTTTAACCGTTGAGTTTGAGAAGGGAAAACTTTCTATGAAGGAATTTGAAATAGAGATGTATATTCAAATCATTGAAATGTAAAATCAGCTTGGATTTAGAGCAATGCATTTCATTGAAACTGCAGCTTATACTTTTTCTAATCATAAGTACAGTATACATTCTAATAATTGCTTCAAATTTTAAAAATATTTTCAAAAAATTAATTGCATTTGGGGATATAGTAATATACTGGGCCAAAATAATTCGGTGATGTCTAATCCGTATGCAACAGTAAATTAACTGATTGGTCCTTTTAAAACATATTTGATTGCCATGGTTCCTTGAATTTTATTTCGTTTTCAGCATTGAAGTTGTAGGTACTTATTTTTTTACTGCGATTTTTTACAGGAGCTAATATTCCAGCCGCGAAAGGGCTTCAGTACCCTTTTCCAACGCATCCCCCGCTTCTGATGTCACCAGTTCCGTCACACCCGCAAACTCCGCCGATGGCAACTACTTCTACCACGGCCTTGGTAATAACAACAACTAGTACAACTTCTTCTAGCACCGCCACAACAACACGAGGCACCAGCCATGGTGAAAATAGACTGAAACCGTGTCCGGGTGTGCCCAGTGATAACAGAACATCTAGCAAAATGAACGTAAATAAAAGTACTGTAGTGTCTTCTTTACCGCCGGTAAAAATTTGTGAAAAGACTAATGTTAACATTCCGAATCCCAACGAAGGAGGTTCGGCATCGGATAAACATAAGTCTGTGCGGGAAATGAAAGCGAGCGAGAAATCTATTGATAAAATTGCTTGTCGAAGGGATTCGAACAGCAATTCTCCTCGCGCCGACATCAAAACTAGAAGAAACAGCGATACTAGTGCTCGAAGGATAGACGAGAGTGAATCGAGCAATAGTCACAAAGAACGAGCTCAAAGCGAAGAGAGAAAGAGGGAACGTTTCGAAAAAATTAAACTCGAAAACGAAAAACTGGAAAAGGAAAAGTTCGAGAGGGAGCGAATTGAACGAGATCGACTAGAGAATGAGAAACAGGAAAAAATGCGCCTGGAAAAAGAAAGGTTGGAAAAGGAGAGATTGGAGCGAGAAAGTGAATTGGAAAAGCAAAGGTTAGAAAAAGAGAGGTTGGAAAAAGAAAGGTTGGAACAACAGGAGAAGGAACTGGCAGAGAAGGAAAAGATGAGGCTGGAGAGGGAACAACTTGAAAGAGAACGCCTGGAAAGAGAAAAAGCCCAAAAAGATCGGGAGCGACTGGAGAAGGAGAAACAAGAACAAATCGAGAGGGACCGATTAGAACGGGAAAGAATGAACAAAGAAAAAAGGGAAAGAGAGGAAAAAGAAAGGCGGGAACAGGAGCAGAGAGAACGAGAGAAGTTAGAAAAAGAGAAGAGAGATCGAGAACAGAAGGAACGAGAAGAAACTCTTAAAAGAGACCAGTTAGAGAGAGAGAGAAAAGACCGTGAAGAACAAGAACAGAGAGTTAGAGAAGAACTAGAGAAAAAAGAACGGGAGCAAAACGAAAAGCGAGAGGAAACGATCGAAAGAGAAAAACTGGAAAAGGAGAAACAAGAAAGAGAGAGGAAACAAGATGATGAACATTCTCGGCATAGAAATGACAATCATGACAGAAGAAGAGATGAGTCTAAACACCGAGAAAATCACAGGGAAAATAACTTTTACGAAAATAAAAACACTAAAGATTCTGCAAGAGAGGAGAAATCTAGCAAAGACAATAACCAAATCAGTATGAAAGAGTCTCATGATCCAAGAACTAGCCACGATAAAAATAAACTCCATCTAGAAAAAGACGTTGAAAGGAGGAAAGAAAACGTCAAAGAAAACCGGGATAATAACTTACATGACAAACAGAAAGGGTTTAACGAAAGCATGCGCGGTCTCGTGGAAAGTCGGCACATGTCCATTGAATTGGAAAAGAACAAAATTGTTGAAAAACCAGATCCCACTAAAAGAAAAGAGAGGAATAACAGTTTACCTGCCAATATTGGTTCCAAGCGCAGGTTAAGCTCGCACGAAAATTCAGAAAGTTTGTTGGAAAGTAAAAAAATCAAGTTGTCACATGATCATAAGAAACTATCAGAACGACGGGATTCAAAGGACAGCTGCAGATCAGAAGAAAGATCAAAAAGTAGAAACAAAAACAACATCAGCAAATCACACGATAAGTATAATAATTCAAGAGACTGCGATGAGAAACGGAGAGAAAAAGAGGAACGGCACAAAAAACACAAGCTAGAGAAACTGAAATCTAAAAGTAAAAGTAGAGAAAAAGATTCTAATCATGATTCTACAATTACTCCTAAGAGTCCGCTGACGGACAAAGAATTTTTAAATAGGCTGGATCTACGAAGCATTGAAGAATTCGACAAACAACAGAAGGAATATAAAGAAAAACGTAAAGAGAGTCTTCCTGAGGAGCAAGACAAAAGTCGAAAAGACAAGATTTCTTCTTCGGAGAAAATGCCCAATTCTGAGAAGATAATGAAGTGTCGTACAGATGAGTCGATTTCAAAAATTGTCGAGGAAAGAAAAAAGCGAGATAGAATCCGGAAATTAACCAATAGCTCGGACACAGACTCAGACGAACCAAAGAAACATTCCATATTCGATATCGTTGATGATGAACCTGCTTATATTTCTATGTATGATAAGGTGAAAGCAAGAAGTTGTAAAAACATGGCCAAACTAGAAGAAGAGAAACGACAGGAAAAGCTGAAAGCCAAATTCAACCAATTGAAACAAAGCAGGGCAAAACGGGAAGAGAAGAAAAGATCAACTTCTTGGGATGAAGATTCAGACTCTGAGAATCCTTCAGAAATGAAACAAAAGAGGTGTCCAAAGATGCTTATTGATAGTTCAGATGATGAAAGTCGAGAGAGGAAATCTAGAAAGAAAAAAGACATTTATTCAGATTCCGATTGTTCAACAATCCTGAAACATATTAAACAAGAACCCCTTGATACTAGTGATGATGATAGTAAGAACAAAAGTTTAACTATTAAAGCGTTTAAATCTCGAATAACAAGTGATACTTCTGAAGATGAGTACAATAAAAAGAAAATACAAGATCAAGTTAAAATCGAATTATTTTCAGACGCTGGGAATTCTGAAATACAGGGATTCTCGGAAAGTGATGAAAAACCGCAGCCATCTAAAGTTAAGGATGAGATAGAGCGTATGGTAAAGAAGGAAAGACGCAACAGCAAACATCAAGAAACATTACCAGAAGTTGACATTCACGCTTTCAGTGATATAAGCATGTCGGAAATGAAAACTGAAAAATTCAGTAGTGTTCACTCTTTCGTTGACAATACTTCTGATGAAGACAATCATGAAATCGCCAAGAAAGAACGATCAGAAAGAAAAGAGAAAAAACACAAGAAAAAACAAAAGAAACAAAAACATTCTTCGAACCCCGAAGAAACCAGCAAACTTGATAGTATTTCTGATTCAGTTCAATCCGAAGCTCTGGAGAAAAGCAAACACGAAAAAAAGAAGGAGCACAGCAAAAAAGAAAAACGGCGAGATAAAACCAGAGAAGGTCGGGAAAAGTCAAAAAAGGCAAAGAAAAGCAAACTTGAAAACAAATCCGAAGGAAAGAGAGATGGGAAAATGGAAAATATATTTGGTTCATTATCTGAAGATTCTGAATCTGGAGTTAAAGATATTGGGCAGGAACAGAAATCAAATGTATCTGTTGAAGAAGACGTTCACCGCCAAATAACCCATAACAGCGAGCCAGAGAAAGATCTTGAAAGCAAAATCAAAGAGAAAGAAGACCGAGAAAGAGAACGCGAGGAACACCATAAAAAGAAAAAAGAAAAGAAACGTCGTGAAAAAGAACGTCGTCTTCAAGAAGCTGCTGTGTCTGCAGCAGCCACTCAGATCCAAGCTAGCAATGAAAATAGCATGGACTTTGCTGATATGGGGAAACAACTTGAGGCAAATATGATGCAAGATGAAAGCCTTGATGGAGTGGAGAATGATCCCAAAGACATTGGAAACTCCAATTTCGAGAAAACAGATTCTTTTAGATTTACCGAATCTGCTGATCTACCTGAAATCAAAAGAGAAAAGGAAGACAGGAAAGAAGGAAAGGAGAAGAAGAAGAAAAGAAAAAAGAGCAAAGATGAAAAAAGCAAACACCATCACCATCACCACCACCACCATCATCACCATGATAAAAATAAATCCAAAACTCCTGAAATTAAAATAGAAATTCCTCCAACTGAAGAAATCAAATTGGAAATAGAGGAGCCTGTAGTAAAAACACCAACTCTACCACAGAATCCAAGTTTACCAACAATCCTGGATGAAAATATTCCCAATAATGATAAAAACCTTACTCCAGAATTTTTGATGTCTCCTATAAACCCTATTATCAGTCCACTCCCGAAAACACCTACAACATCAAAAGATAAAAAGCGTGAGAAATTCTTACCTGGATTCGGTACTGAAATCGACGAAAAAATTCACGAATCTGCTGTGAAGTCAATTTCCGATTTTGAAACGACTCCTAAAAAAGAAGAACCTATCAATGAAGACGATCATCAGCCTGAAAAACAATCTCCATTGCCTGAAGAGAAACCTAGAGTTGTTATATCTCAAGAAGAAACAGAAGATGCAGTCGCTGCTTTATTGGGAGAGAGTTTTGGTGTTGGCAAGCAAGAATCATTTTATGATGACGACAGCAGCGTCAATGATCCACCCCCTATAGTAGAGGAAAGTAATGTCCAAGATGACGAAGAAATGCGACAAGCAGTGCAAAGTCTTAGTGCCACTGATTTGGATGTGAAACCAGACACTCCCCAAAGTGAACATGAATTGCAAATTGACACTGACACTGAGGAACAAGAAGACACCCCAGTCAAGTTCGATCCACCAGTCAAGACTCCTGAGCCAACAGAAGTTGAGAGGCTTCCAAAAACTCTTGAAGTTGTCCCTTACTTTCATAAAAATATGGATTCGAACACTCCAAAAGTGTCTCCTCCTAAAGATAATTTGAACATTGGCAGTCCACCTTCACTTACCCCTATAAGGCAACAGATGGTAATTCTAGCAGAGTTTAAGAAGAACCTGGATGAGAAAAACCTTCCTCCAGTGCTACCAGAACAGCCACAAAGAACCGTTATTGCCCAGTCTTGGGCAGTTGACAAAAATCAAGACATCAGTTCTACGAAGCCACCCCAGGCATCAGTAATCAAAATTGAGAGCAAAGCAATGCCTGTTCCTCCTCTTGTTGAACCACAACACTCGAAAACTATTACACCACCACCAAACAGGCAATTTACCAGTCCAACGCATTTGAAAATCACAGAACCGCAATATCCTCCTTTGAAAGCCTTATCAAAAACAGATTTGTCAAGTATTTCACCAACTGCAAACCAATCCAGCAAAGTACAACCTATACAAGTTTCTCAGTCTCCTGTAAAATCTCCGAGTTTACCACAATTGCATAATCTACCAGCTCGTTCTCCAGTGCAAATGAATAAGCCGCCGATATCTGTTAGTGACCCCGGACTGCCGTCACCGAAATTATCATCGGGAGTGATTCATAATAGACTTCCTATAACACCTGTTATGGCATCCAAACCACAACAACCTACCACCGTTATTCTACAACCGTCAAAAGTAGCTCTTCCACTAGAACCACCAAAATTGGTTTCAACATCTGATCACAGGTCTCAAGATCGGCCAAGGATGATATTTCAGACATCTACAATTCAACCTCCACAGTTTGGCAGTTTTTCAACCAATCAACCAAGGATGATGCTTCAAGGAAATATTAGGCATCTTCCACCACAGGGCCTATTAGTACCTACAAGACAGGTTCCAACTTCGCACAATTTTGGCTATTTGGCCAACATTCCCCATTCTTCTTTCAATCTGACCCCAATATCCAAAGAAAAACAAGAGAATGTGTTAGATAAGAGCCACATTGACTCTAAATTGCAACAACCTTTTCCTCCAACTTCAAGCCTACCCAACACCCAAATTACCGCAATGCCTCCTAAAGTGGTAGTTCCATCAAACATTCAACAGAATCCATCATTATTGCAGCCTCTAACAATTCCTAAAGAACTCAGTTGTTTGCCTTGTCCACCAGCAATGGGAAGTCCTAAGCCGATAACAAGTTCTCCGAGTCCAAAACCATTTATGCCAATGTGCTCTAGTCCAAAATTACAAATTACTCCAAATGTTTCAAGTTCCAAAACACTTCTTGCTATTTCGAATCCAATCACAATTCAAACTCCACTTCTCAGTCCTAAACCTACCATGAGCTCGTCAATTTCTTCGTCAATAGAAACTCTTGCTCAAACAAGTATTATCCAATCTATTTCAAAACCAGATATTAGTTCCAACGTCTCCGTTCTCAATTTTTCTGAATCAAACAAGCTCAACGTTATTACTGAATTGAGGAGATCAACTCCAAGTCCTGTTATTGTTTCTATGCCAGGACAGATTTCAAAAAATGTTGCTGCTGTATCAAAACCTAACGAAGTTATCGCTTCTGATACACAGACCAACATAAAGTTGGAGGATCCACCTGTCAAACTGGCTATTGAAAAAGTCACAGATGAACTAAACTCATATCTGGAAAAAGCTTCGCCGGAAATAAAAGAAGCAAGTCTACCAAAACCTGACATCAAGCTGGAATCTGAAGTGAAATCTGAAGTGAAACTAGATATGAAATCTGAAGAGAATAACCAAGATGTTAAACTAGATATCAAACCAGATCTAGAAGATTTTCAAAAGGAACAATTCGTTGAAACTATGCAAGATATCAAGCAAGAGGATGCTGAACAATCATCTCAAGTGGAGAAAGAAACAGTTGCTGTTAAAGAAATTGATAAGTTTGATGAGGAAAAAACAGAAACGGAGAGCGTTATTTCCAACATTAGTAAAGAAAGATCTGCTAGTGCTGATATTCTAGCAAAAGATGACCCGCTCGATACAAAAGAAGATAGTGACTACTGGTCTGCAAAAGAGGTTAACATTGACTCTGTTATCAAAACCCTTTGTTCTGGTGACGAACTTTCAGATCACAGCAGTGAGAATGGAAAAGATTATTGGTTTGAAGACAATAAACCTACTGAAATTATAAAACCTGAAACAATTGTAAATGACACTGCTTTTGATAAGAAAGAACAACCATTGATTGTATCGGAGAGTAATAAGTCTATGCAATATGATACTCATGCATCAGAGGAGAGTAAGATTGATTCGGACATGGAAAATAATACAATAGTTCTTCCAGTGGAAATTAAAAGTGTTGAATCTGCGGGTAGTAAGAAAGATGAATCTATAGAAAGTAAAAATAATGAATCCACAGAAATGAAAACTGATATATCAACAGAAAGTAAAAGTGATGAAAGCATGAATGATGCATCTGTCGAAGGAAAGGTTGACGAATCTGAAGTTCAAGGTGAAACTATGGAAGTAGAGGAATTGAAAGAAACCATTACAGTCCGTGGTAATAATCGCGGACGTGGAGGAAGAGCTAGGGGGAGAGGAAAGGCTCGTGGAAACATTGTAGATAACGGAGGTATACAAACTCGTCGTGCAAAACTCACCAAAGAGCTTGCAGCCATCACATCTCCGACTAAAAGGGGCAGAGGTGGAAGAACTCGCAATGAACGTAAAGTAACCAAATCAGAGTCCGAATCGACACCAACGGATGTCTATGAGTTCCGTGATGAATCTGATGAAGTTAACAAAGAACAACGGCCGCGGTTAATTTTGACAATAAAATCGCCGGCTGTGTCTAGTTCTAACAACTCGCAAACGACGGCAATCATCAAGGAAATTACAAAAGATGGTGCAAAAGAAATATCTAAGGAAGTTACCAAAGAAATTCTTTCAAGTCCTGTGAAACCGATAGAAACGAAGGAAGAATTCACCAGTCCCACTACTGCAAATACACGAAAGTCGCGGCGTCTACAAGAAAAAGATACTTTTAGAAACGCAGTAGATGACACCATAGAAGAAGTAGTTAAAAACAACATTCAAACACGTGCCTCGAATCAAAGAAGGTCCACACGGCAAGTTACTCCAAAATCGGCGCCTGTTCAACTAGAAGTACCCAGAAAATCACCTAGGGGACGAAAAGGGCGAAGGGGTTCTGAAGCTACCGAAATCTCATCTTCGGAAGAAACACCAAAAGAGGAAATCAAATCGGCTTCTCCGGTTAAAGAAATTGAGAAACCAAAAGAGGCTGAAAAACCTGCAGAACCCATCATAGAAGCTGTAAAGCCTGATGTATTACATGAACAACCTAAAGAAAAACCTCTTGAAGGTCTCAAGACGGTGGTTCTTCGACGCCTCAAAGGTGAGGCTGAGAATAACAATCCAGATGAGCCCACTAATCTTATTGATCCTGTGACAGGAGAATTGATCCCAATGAGAGAAAGTGAAGAGGGCAAATATGTTCCTTTGCCTGGAAGCAGGGATCCTAAAAAACCAGAGAGTGATGCTAAAGATAACTCCCCTCTACCTCTTGCACAACCCAAATTGAAAGAGCTGGTCAAACCTCAAGCTAGTGTAATAGCACAGCCTCAACAGGTTGCTGTGGTCCAGCCGATGAAACATCATAGTTTCAAAGCTCATGTACTATCGTCGCAGGCTGCACATGCAGTGGTTAGTCAGCAACCAGCACCTATTCAGGCGAACCCTGTCCTTTCACTACCTGTACCACCTGCCAGTGTGAGTTCAAAGAATACACCTCAGATCAAATCAGTAGCTTCTGTGGTAGTTTCAAAGACCAATGCTTCAGTCTCTGTAGCAAAGACCGTCACTCCTATGATAATTAGCAAAACCGTTACTCCAATAGTGACCTCAAAACCGCTAACGCCAGTCATCATAACAAAACCAGTTACTCCAATCAGTCAGCACCTCAGTGTCAATACAAGTTTGGGAATTAGCTCCATTACCTCAACCAACTTGTCACCTAGACCTATTGTGCCCTTATCTGGATCGTCAAAGGTAATTCCTACGCTGGTTAAACCTCCTGTTTTATCGCCAGTGATGCTGAGTAATCAACAGAAAATGTTGCAAGTCAGCAAACAACAACAGATGAGCAAATGTCACGTGGTATCGCCGATGGTTAACCAAGGTCAGATAGTCAACACTCAACTGGCACACGTGAAGCATCAGTCAGTCATGAAGCAACAGCAGCAGCAGCAGTTGCCTCAAGTCATAATGGGGAAAGGGCCCATGGTCAAGCCTTTACACCAGCAGCAGATCCTCAGCGGGGCGGTCCCGAGCCCACCTCTAAGCAAACCTCAATCGATGCTCACGAACCAATCCAGGATCATTCAAGGACCTCTACCTGCAGGTTCGAAGGGGGTGATGGAGCCGCCAAAAGTGGAAGTCACCATGTCTAACGTCATTCTGGGACAAAGGCCAAAACTGTCTCCTCAGGGTCCTCAACAAAGGCTGGTTGGTCAAACGGGACTTCCTGTTCCTGGCTATGAAGCTAATTTGGTAAGCAATTTTTTTCGATTATTGTAAGTGTGACTCAACTAACAAATTTTAATTAATAACATGCAGCATGGAGAGCGGAGTTTACTCAATCGTAGTCGAAGTCCACCGCCAGCTCATCAAAATTCTCCATCACCGAAGGTGAAATATTTGTATATTTTTCAATGTTTTGGTGTTGCATGTATCATTATCAATTTTCTTTTTTGGAAAAATGTGTATGTCACTAGAAGATATGTCATGTATATGTATATGTTTACGTGAACTTGGATTGTACTTTATTTTCAAGTTTAGTCTTTTTGTTCTCAATTGACTTTCTTTTTAGAATAATTCACAAAATCATAGGTTAGTAGCTAACTACAATTATCATATACCGTCAGACATATCTTGCTATATGGAAGAAATTTAACTGATGGGGGTGCTAGATTCTGTTGATAAATGATTGTAACAAAAAGTGAACAGCTGATGTCAGATTGAAAAAAGTTTGGAAGGTTAGTCTGTACCTCTTCTAGTTGTACAGTCATACCCACTGCACCATGATCACATTGTTTTTACAATAAAATAGTTCCAAGTGATTAACGAAAGCAATTGGAGGGAACTGCTTGTTAATCATAGTTTAGAAACATTCATTAGTTTTATATACATGGAGGATAACCAATATTTTGCTATTACTTATGAACTGTAGTTTATTTGAATTTTTTTTCTATTGCTATAATATCAATATGTAACAACATCCAATTCATATTTTCTTTCAGGGAGAGACGATTGCCCATTTTCCACCCGGGCCTTTACGACCACCAGAAATCAACCCAGCACACTATATGCATCCTTCCCATGTCATACAGTATCAACAATATCTTCGTCAACAACAGTTGCATCTCACAAGGTAAGGATATTTCTAGATCTCTTCATGTTTACTTTCAAAAATTAATGTTAGAAAAAACCAGGCTTCGTATAACATTTTCCATCTATAAAACTAGTATGTTTTTGATCTACTACTGCCCATTTTTCCATACCAGAATTATCAAAAGACAGTAATATGCAATTAAAATAGGTTTGAGGTGCTCATTCTAACAGCTCTTATTTTTTGTCAGATCTGGAGGAGTCGAGAAAGTTGGAGATGGTCAAGAAGGAGAAGAAGCACCAGTTACTTCACCACCGTTGGAATTGAGAAGACCTGGGTCGGTTGGGCTAGCATTGACGGGGCGAGGTGCTGCTGTTCCTCATAGTTTGCATTCTCCTCACGACAGAGCTACAGGTAAGCTTTCAATGAAAAGTTTTATAGAATAATACATTAAAATATTCACTTCATCCATTATTGTACTTTCTTGTTTCAACTTACTAATTTGATATTTAGGTTTTTACAATTTTTCAATTAACTCTTGAAACGTTTTTATCTTTCAATGTGAAAGCGTATCAGTTTAATATCTTTAATATCTAATAATCAATAAACAACTCAGTGTTTTCTAAATCAAGTTTCAAGATTTCCAGATTACTCAACTGCAGATCCTATTTTTACACACATATTATTGTTTATCTTCATTGTTTAACACATTGAAGGACAGTGTCTGCATATGCAGCTATTTATATAATGATGTGGAGGGACAGGATAGCATATAGAGTCAACAATGCAGTGACATTACTTTTCATCGTTTTCCGCGAGAAAATCAGTGTTTTAGAATATGGGAGTTTACTGACTTCTTCAGAGGTTGTTTGTCCTCTTCTGATAATAGATTGTTCAGTACCAACAATTAGAGAACAGAGCTCTTGCTCTTGATATGATGTTACAGGGAGGACAGTTGGGGTTGGATACTTTGGAAAGGAGATCCATTACTGTAGAGCCCCGCATTACCATGACAAGGTTTTTCACGACGAGGGGGCGTCCAGTTTCGCGAAGGTTGCGTTATCGACCCTGAGTGACATAATAGTTATTAATTCTTTTGGCATCTTAGGATGAGACGTTCATTCAGAAGGACTATTACCTCCACGGATGACACCTTACTAGGCATGCCTCCAGTATTGTTTTCAATATACATATTAAAATAATGTTCTAATAAAATTTTAACCCATTTATCTTTTGTTATAGATTCACCCCAAGTGGGTCAGGTATACAACGTCCACTCTACTCGACTCCAACACTACCACCCTACCCGATACCACTATGAACAAACAGAGCCTCCACCAGCTCACCGTCCAATGACCAGTCATGGTTCCCTGGCTGCCCTGGGCAGCGACCGCGGACTTGCACACATCACACCCCTGGGCACTCCTGATAGGCCGCTCAGCGGTCATTCAGCAGTGACTGCCCACATGGGTGGGCTTGCAACACCGGACAGGCCGATTTCTAGTCACGTTGAGAGGCCGATATCTGCTCACGGAATGATGGGCGCCGGCTTGGGAGCCGCAGGGAACCTTATGGGGGCTGTGGCGAGACACATCGGTGCAGACGCTCCTACGAGTCAGAGAGGATTGCAAGCTGCCACACCCCCTCATGCTAGTCAAGTTCCACCCCAGGCAGAGAGTTTGTTTATGCTCCTGAAGGTGAGATATTACTTATAATTTGATAACGTACTAGATTGATATTAAAAAAAAAAAACGAGGTTATTTTAAGTACTAAATAGTTCAGACGTAAAAAGTCACTTCCCTTCTTAACTTTTGATGGCATAATTTTTAGTACTTTTTGATAAAAAAAGACAATAGTGTTGCATCACTTATCATCGAGAGGGTTCTACCAGTTTTTTTCAAATGAATAGGGGGTATTGTAATGCCTCATTTGATAGCTTTTCAGTTTTACTTTTACCTATTGTTCTAAACATGAGCTCTGGAATAGATTGTGGTGCTGTCATGTATACTTTAGATATCATAAATTGCTGCAAAAAATTTGGCGTTATGTGATCTAGCAGTCCATCCTATGGGAACATGTTGGCCTGTCTACTGGTTTGGATGATTTCCGTCTAGCAACTTTCGAACCAGCCATTTGTAATTAGGAGGTTTCTCAACTTGCTGAAACATAACATCAGTTGAAAACTCATTTTGGTTTGTCAATTATTCAAATCAGTAAATATAGGCAGACAGGGTCCTTTAGAATGCCCACTAGATTACCTGATACGACAACTCTAGATATTTTTGAGGTGATAAGTGAAATCTGAAGTAGAATATTGAAAAGGGTTTTTCATGATAATCTTATTCAATTAGGTGAACTGAATGACTATAACTAGGAATTGAAGTACACAAAATTCTATTTATATTTTGAAAATATATTCTGTGAAATACCAAAGAAATTGGGCCACCCAATTTTTTAACATTGAGCTATCTTTATAGTCAAATCATTTTGAGATGATGGGTTTTCAATCTCATATATTTTTTTCAGCAATACCCATGTATGTGGCAAGGCCTTTTAGCCCTTAAAAACGACCAAGCAGCTGTCCAGATGTACTTTGTTTCTGGAAATGACAATGTCGCAAAATGCAGTTTGCCCAAAAACACTGATGGGTCAACACCACCCCTAAGAATATTCCAAAGAATGAGGCTAGAACCTCCACAAGTTGAAGGTGTAGCCAGGAAGATGCAGGTAAGAATTTGTTGATTTTTCCTACAAGAATATAAATGGTTAAGACTGATTTCAGAAATATATATATATAAGGAAGAAACAATATCGATATTTGATTTTTTTTTTCTAGATGGAAAACGAACATTGCATGTTGCTGGCTTTACCATGCGGACATGATCATATGGATGTACTTAAACAGTCTACTAATCTAACCAATGGCTTTATAACATATTTACAGCAGAAGCAAGCAGCGGGTATCGTAAATGTTGCTGCTCCTGGTACAACTCAGCCTGTGAGTATTGAATTCATTTTTTGATCATTTTACCGCATCCAATTTCTAGTTTCGTAATGTATTATTACAAATATAACAAAAAATAAGAAAACTGAATATTCGTTTCATAAGTAGTTCTAAAATAAATACATTTTTTAATGAGTAATGGAACTAGAATATAGAGTTGATAAAATCAAAGCTCTGCAACTTTTCGTTTAAAGCTATTGTTTTGAAAGTATACATATGTAATAATATGCATCTCCTAAAAATACACACTTCCTCTATTTCTACAATGCTTCGTATAAATTTTCCATTGTTCTAAACAGTGCTGAAAGATTTATAAAAGTCACATGGTGCCAGGTCAGGAGAATAAGGCAGATATCTGATAGCCCATATCACATAAGGGTTTTAAGAATACATGTATTTCTCTATGCTGGCTACTCTGTGCATTTGTCTTTAGGTATCATATATGTGGATGATGTTATATTATCCATTTTCGAGTTTGATTAGTTTTTTCATTGTGTTCATCTTCCATTTGGTTTTCTTAATATTTGATTGAAATAATGCTGTGAACAATGATACTAATGTCAAATACACAGAGTATCTAATTAAAAAAAAAAATACACATGCGATACCGTTTATCCTCATGAAAATTTGTTTGATAATTGATTTTTTGCAGCGTCATGCACTTTTGGCACAAAAGTATAATTATATCTACAGGAACAATACTTTTTTCATTTTAGAACCAAACCTCAATAATTAAAACAGATAGAAAAAGATTTCTGATTATTTATGAAACAACAGATCATACTTGAACAGACACTATATATCTCACTGATTTTGTAGTTTAATTCACAAACTGAGATGTTTGATATACTAATGATGCATTTTTATTTCCAGCCTGCTTATGTGGTTCACATTTTTCCATCTTGTGACTTCGTTAACGAGAACCTACGAAGAATCGCTCCTAGTCTTCTAGAAAGGGTAGCAGATATTGCTCACCTTCTCATAGTCATAACAACAGTGTGATCATTTGCTTATATTCGATTATCGGACTTGAAAGCATTGAGAATATTCACTGTATCTCTTCTGTTTTTCTCATTATCATCATCTACTTGTGACAACAATAACCCGATTTGACTAGTATTTCGAAGCATGAATGTTAGTCTAACTCTCGCCAGTTAATTTGGATATAACCTCAAAATATGGTAAAATTCGTCCCTTGGGGGATTTACTTAAATATTTAAAAAGTTTCTCTGTGATTTCTTGACAAAAACGTTATTACTATTATTAAAATAAAATTTAAAAAGCTAAAAATAACTTACTACCTATTTAAGAGATCTCATATTGAACTAGTTATAAAAAGAAATGATGAATATGTCTTTATTTAGAAGATCTTTATTTTCATAAATATCTTGTGAATTATTTCATTAACTTATAGGACATCCTTGCAATATTTGCAAAGATGTCTTATGAGTGCCACTGGTATTTAATTTAGTGTTTTTTTCAAAACTATGAGGTTAAGTTGCCAGAGTTTATTTTTTATATTATATTGATACCTGTTATTTATTTATTATGTTATGGCAAGAATTTGAACACTTTTGTCTGAGATAAATTTGTTTGAATTATTTTCACTTATTTTGACTACGATTCTACACTCTCCATCTTGGGATTGCAGGCGTGAGTTTTTATTTAGTTTTTTGTTAATATACTTTTTAGTTTATCAGGTGGGGAGTGTGAAAACGTCTGATACAAAATAGCAACCTAATCTTGTAGTTTTCAAAGGCTTTAAAGTTGTAAATATTTAAATTTAATGTTACCCCATTTGTAGTTTGAAATATGGCTATTATAAATACTGAAAGCAGACATAATATATAAATATGTAGCATACAGAAAGAAATCAATCATTTTTTAAATTACAATGTAATATATATGTGAATATATAGTTTAGTTTGATAATTTCAGCTCGTTTTGAATTATCGTCAAGATGTTCTGTACAGTATATTTTAGGTGTAAGTATGATTTTGTCTACGTTACAAAGAATAATATAGGGAACATTGTGATGTCTATATACTACTGTAAATTTTGTAAATATATAAAAATACTGTGTATTGTGACTATACATTATTATAACTATTACGATTAATAATATATCTTTTTTGTTTTACCCCTTCACTACTTACCTTTACATGTTCCTACAGAAAAAAAAAACCATTTAGGTATAAATTTTTTGGTACTGAACAGTTACAAATTTATATGTCGAGAGTAAAATTACAAATCTCTTTATGCTTCATTTATTCCTAAAAAAAAATCATAAATACACTGCAGGAAAAGCTAGAGGTTTTGAATAATAGAGAAATACCATTGCAAAAAGAGTACATTCCGGTTTTTGTTGGAAAACGTGAAGTAATAATTTTAATTTTGTTACAGATGTTTCTTTACTGACGCAATTGGAGTATATGCTGAAGTGCAAGTACCAAGTTTTTGTCTATATTTATTTCATGTATCTGGTGGACTTTTTACTGGCAGCAGCTTGTGCTTGTAAACGGTTCATTTCAAATCAAGCAGTAGCGTATTCGTTTTGGTTTTGAGAGCAATATTAATATTAGGTTGTTTCAAAAGTTTTGTCCGTTTTTACGAGTTTATTCTAAACTGTAAGATCTCAGTGACTACTTATTCAAAATGTGTTCGAAATAAGCGGCCATTGAATCAGTGCACTTTTGTCAACGTAACACAAATCGATCAATTCTGTCAGTATAGAAATTGTGTGCTTGGCATCCACTGAAGGCCGTTTTTGCCTAGTCCTGTTTGGCGAAGGTTCTACCAGTGAGAAAATTATCGAAATGCTTGAAAAGATGGTAGTAGGTTGGCAAAAGGTCTGAGAATATGGTATGTTAGGCAAAACTTCGACGCTCAATTCGTTCAATTTTCGGACGGTGATTTGTGAAACGTGCGGACGGACGTGTTGCGGAGCAGGATCGGGCGTCTTCCGTTGACCAGTGCAGACTGCCACAACTTTCGATACATTTTGTCGATTTCCTCACAAAAGGCCTCTTCTATGATGGTTTGGCTTGGTTGCAGGAAGTTAAGTGAATCTCACCAGCCGTTGACTACCATTCAATAACCACGGTCTTTTTTTGGTTGGTTTTCACCTTTGGGAAGTGACTCATTGGTGTCCAACCATTGTCCTGTTGTCGTAGACGATCCACTTTTCATCACACGTGATGATTCATTCCAAAAATGGATTGTTATGGTTGCACAAAAGCAAAGAACAGACCTCGAAACATAACAATTTCTATAAATTGATGGATGTAGCTCATACTACTTGGTAGGAAATCATAATGATGAAAAGGGAATTGAAACTTCCTATGTTTTTTACTATTTTTATTTGAAATTAACGTTACTGCAGTTTCATCCTATGACTGAGCAAACTGGCCATCGGATGCCTGCTTCTACGTAGCCCCGCTGGATACAGGAATAACAGAATCACTGTGGTTCTGTTATTCCCTAACTGAATGGCATCCCAACGATGGCTTTATCCTAAGGTGTATGTATCCGTGCCAAGAGTATGAATGACACTGAGCCTATTAGCTGTCTCTACGGAACCTTCGAGATACCGGGCGCCCTCTCGCCGTCACGGTAATTCGGGGCTCTGTCGTGATTGACCTTCTTTCTCTAGCTACTCGTAGGACTTTTATGGACAGAGTAAACTTAAAAATTCTTTCTGACGCTGAGTTTATAGAGGAGATGGTTGTCGACCTTACGACCCCAACTGACCTCCCTATAAACTCAGTTCAGGAGCGAGTCTACAGAGGAGATGAATGTCGAGTTTACAACTCCAACTGACCTCCCTGTAAATTTAGTTTAGGAGCAAGAGCTTCTCAACTCCTGATCCAATAACTGAACCTAAAAAAAGGTTTGGTGGTGCATCCAGGAAACGACCGAGTCGTCTCCTCAAGAGACGCCTTGCACCAAATTCTTGAGCAGGTGTAGCTGACGTGCAAAAACCCTCATATGGGAGGTTGTTGCGGATATCAAGGTGGGAATCTTGCACTGTGGGAATCTTGCACTTTGAGTATCCAACTACTTCATTAACAATGAAACAGCAGAGCATATACGGCAGAGCCGTACTCTTACCATCTGACCTGAAAGACCACTCACCATACAAACTTCATTGAGAAGCTGGTTTTATTTGGTCGAGTGTGAATAGGTGTCAGCCACAATTTACCCTTGCGGGTTGCGGAGGAGGGTCGAATAGACTCACTCACTTTGGACCTAACCTAACCTAACCTATAAGGACATTTCCAAACGTATACATTAAACTAACAATGATTGATTACATTAGCCCTTATATAACACCACTGTAGGTAATAATAGAGGTACTTAGCTAGATTGAGTACCTTAATTTTGTTTACTAGTGACAATGTAGATATGCTAATTTGAAAACGGTGAGTAAACTGAATCGATTTGATCATTCAACAGGTTACACCTGCAATGTTTATGCTTGTGAATTTCCAAGGATTCCAAATGATGAGTTTGCAACCCTTTCTTGCATAGTGCAAAATTTTCGTATCATTTAGATTTAGAAACTTGTGGTTGCATGCCAAGGAATGATTTGACGTTTTCAAACCATTCCAAAGAAAGGAAGAAAGCAATCAATTTCAAAAAAATTACTGTAAACAAAGATGTGTAGATTATGCAAAGAAGTAACTTTCAGTCACAAACTTGAAAAAAAAGCCCTCTTGAATCAGCTACTTTCATATGAACATATACTTCAATATGAACAATGAATTATACAAAAAAACAATATTCTCTATCCAGTTTGTATTCACAGGATTGCTACACAATATAGTAAATGAAAGAGGTAAAATTTCACTTACATGGAAGATTGGACATCCGATGTTTCAGAATAGACACTTGCCTTATTGCCTGTTCAGCAACAATCTGGATAACATTATAAAATGAAGCACTCAATCACTACATAGTATAAAACAAAGTCGCATAATATACTAGAAATATACTAAGAGGTTTCCAATGTGATGTCATAAATAAACATATTTTTTGGGCTTACATTGCATTGCTGACTGAACCATACGAGATATATCACACCAAGTACCACAGTAAGTCTATCTTAGGGATAACCCACAATAACCATTTTCTATCCTTTTACTTTCTTACGAATGCATGTAATTTAAATATTTTCGAAGATATTACAGATTTAAAATGCAGGAACAAAGCGGTTGCGGCGGTATTGACTGAGGGGCCGGCTGCGCGTACTTATAAATAGCGGGTCGAAGATTCAAACATTTTATTGTATAAAGATGGAGAAGTCCTTTCACCCACACACACCTTTTCAAAAATGAATTGGGATTCCAAACATCTGTCTTATGCTGCAATTAAATTATTTAATAAATTACCAAAGGTAAGGAAATTTCTAATAAATAGGAACCATATTCATTAGAGAAATATTTCAGCTGAGAAACATATCTTCGTTGTGACACTATCCCACTTGTATTTCTGTGAAATAAAGATTATTATAGAACTGAGAGATTATATTCTATACAACTCCCATTACAAAAACAATATCTGTTAACGGCACCAAGAAATAAGAGCGCCCTAACCGTGGTTCTTTACAAAGCCAAACTTAACAAAACCAGTAGAATGAAACACATTTGTTACGAATAAATAATGAAGGAGTTTCTAATACTTTAATTTGAAAATAATTGTTAAAACAATGGTAATGATCTGAAAAATGAAGAAAAAAAAAATTAAATGAAAACTTCTATCCAAATGAAGATGAGAATATAGAATAGGGAACTTGCACATTTTTTACATCGTAAATGTGTTCTGCTATGATAACTATTAACTACTGCAAAATATGAGTAGCGAAATATCAATAGTCAGTTTATAAAGTATATAAAAATGTCTTTCGTTGAAAAAACAATTCAAACAAGCGTTTAAAGGCGCAAACTGTCATGACGTCATACTGTATCAATCCGGGCGCAGGCTGTGACTGCCGTTTAAATCTACTTTTTTAAGCAGTTGCAGCAAAACGCTTTTGTGTAAAATGTGATGAGTTCCTGTTTTTTAATAGATTGGTATTATTAAGTTGTATAGTTTCGTGATTTGTGTTTAACCTTGATTCAGTTTTGTTTGTGTGTTGTTGAATGTATAAATCTAACAAGGACTTTCAATTTCACAGGCAATGGAACACAAACAATAAAAATATTGCACCATAACCCAAATTATTCATACAAATTTCATAGATTCATACAAAAGTTTTATACTTTTGAGGTATATGCTTTATATTGTATCTATAAAATATATTATTTACTTTTACCCCTCTTTACATAAGTATACGAGTAATAATTTTTTATTACAGATGTATATAGAATTTATACATAGTGATTAAACTTACAACAAATAATAACTGTACTTACTTGTCTATTTTAACTCTGTGTACTTCACCAAGAGAAAAATGTTCATCTTCTTTAATGAATTTCGCTATCATAAACATATCAACAACTGGCAGATTATCGGATTGACCTTTTGTAAATCCGTCGTCGGTGATGTTTGGTTGAATTTACATACTTAATAGTAAATAACAATGTGTAAAATTAACCAAATATAGTAAAAACCACAGACTTGGACAAAAATATTACAATAAATAACAGAAACTTCGAACGAGCAAACGCAAACAGTTCAACATAAATGGAATGGCGAAATACAGTATGACGTCACATCCAATGGCTGGACGTTTTTGGCCACGTGACGAAACTTAAGTTTTTAGTAAACTTTAATTACCTCTAGAACGAATAGCATTGAAAAATAAATTGATAGATGTAGCCGTTACTACGTGGTAGGAAATCATAATAATAGGATAGCTCAAGCGGGGATTTACTAAATCGCGACAGATTAATATACAAGGGGATACCTTGTACCCGGTTAAGTACCTCCACCAAATATGAGCCCCATATATAAAGCCGCCTGTGAGGGATAAAGGATCAGATTAGTAAAAAAAAATTGATCATCAGAAATTCTCGAGTGCGTCAGATTAAGGTAGGGTGAGTTAATTACCTGCTAAAAAGTGTATATTCCAGTAATCTGACAATTTGAGAGTGGCGTAAAGAAAGGGGAGGGTAGCAAAGTTGTAAAAAAATAACGTCAATTCGACATTCTCGAGCGTAGCTAATTTTTTTTATTTTGAAGGAAATAATTCAAGGATAACGAAAAATATATAATCTGACGATTTCCGCAAACAAAAATTCGTCGATAAAGTTTAATGCGTGCAGCTGTGTGATACCTATATTTCCCTCTCCGAGTTTCTATTCCTCTACTCTTTATTCACTTTTTCTCTATCTATTACGCTCCCACTCCGTCCCCACTCTGAATTCTGTTGCCATCACAGCTGATCACAGAGACTCGTTCGTGATGAAGATTAATGAAACAATTAATTGATGGATGTAGCCGTTACTTCGTGGTAGGAAATCATAATGAAGAAAAAAGAAATTGAACCTTCTATGTTTTCTACCGCTTTCATTTGTAACTAACGTTACTGCATTTTCAAACTTATACAGTCCTTATAGGACGAAACTGCAGTAACGTTAGTTACAAATAAAAGTGGTAAAAAACATAGAAAGTTTCATTTCTCTTTTCTTCATTAATTTATCAATTGATTTCTTCATTAAAAAATAGTTTGTTTGGTAATAAAGGCTGTATTAAAATATCTTTTGATTCTCAATGTTATTTTCGTGGTTGAATTTTTATACAAGTTCCCTATTAGCAGACTTGATACAAAATGGGATGGACTAGAAGGAAAAGCAAGTTGTGGAGAGAAAGAATAAAGTTGAATAACTACCTCCACTTAAGGTAGGAAAGATTTGAGATGAATTAATAAGAACACAAATCAGCAAACAGATCAATTTTTGTTTATTACAGAGACATAGGGTTAAAATTATTTGAATATTTCTCATCACTCAAACACAATCATCATAAAAAATTTGTTCTAGCTGGTTGCTGTTCCATGGGTGCATATCCAACACGAGAATAAATTTCCTGTTTACTTTTTGGACCTGGTTGCCAAGTTGGTGGATCATTGAAAGTTTTTTGCTGTTTTTCTTTGGACTGTTGTCGTATTTCTTCATATTCATTTATGTCGTCTAGCTTCAGTTCGATGCTGGTTGGGGGTCTTCTTAGCATTTTTTAATTCTCTAAATCCAAGGTAAGAGAATTAAATTACAATTAATTTTGTTGCAATTTGAGAAATAATGAAATCTGCCATGTTTGATTTCGTTCAAAAGATAGTATATACAGTAGAACTCCAATTATGTCTCACTATTAGGAAAAAAAGAATCCTTCAGATTATTCAGAAAAAATCACCTAGCAATGCATATTCAAAGGCCTTATGGGAGTAGAGTATTTCCTGACAGTTTCCTAAATGTTTTTTATTTTGTACATATTTGAGTATGAACTATTTCCACTACATTGTGGTGCTACTTTCAATGTTCACAGTAATAAAATGATGTTAAATAATTTTTAGGTGTTTTTTCTTTAAAATAAGCCTTTCATCAACATTTGATTATCAGGATTAAGGTTAGTTCAAACTGATATGGATAATTGGAGTTTTACTGTAATAAAAAAAATGAAAACACAAAAAAATGTAACTTATTACATACATACAGAAAAAATTAATTACTAATTACATGTCGAGAGAGGATATGGCTGAAAAAAACAGTGTTTCATTGGATAATTTTTTCAATAACTTCATTTTACTTTCAGTATTAGTTTTCAAATATAACAGAAGTCAGAATAAATAATAGTATTGATAAGCAATTTCCTGAAACTAAAAACTGTATTATTACAGAATAAGAAAACAAATCCATCACATCTATCTATATTCATATTCGACTGAGCAGTATATAAAAAAAAATCTAAAACAATATTCAATGAGGCCTTATAAAATATGACATGACACAGTAGGTCTGTTATTTATAGAATTGTCAATGTAATTGATAAATCAGTAAAAATGAGATACAAAAGTCAGGGAATAAAAACAAGAACCTACAGTTTCCAACAATTTAAAAAAGATCAATAAAAAAATCCTCAAAGGCATTCTCTATTAAAATGTTTTTAGAGGATTTAGAGAGCACAGATATGAAAGAAGCTTGTTATACATTTTCACTCCATTATATATAAGATCTTTTATCGAGGTTGATGAAGGTAACGGGAACCTGATTGCATTATTATTATTATTACAAGTATTGTGGTGCCAATTTGAGCTACAATCAAATACATAACTATTTTTGTGAATCAAACTGGAAGTGTCCAATATATATCCGTGTTTTATGATTTTGAAAATTATTTTTTGAACTTGAAATTACAGAATTATCAAGAATAATTGAATAATATTTTGAAAAACGTATTGTTTAGTTTCTTCATTTAATATATGGAAAAAAATAAATTTGTTTTTCTTTCATTGCAATAAAAAGTAAGAAACCTTTCTAAAATAATTATTTCTCTAAAAAGAATGGTTTCATTCAACAATGTGGTTTTCAAAATATTTAAATTTGTAATTTTGACAGATATTATTGATGAGAAACCACAATATGATAAAATAAAGAACAAATAATAAGTGGGTCCAAACCAGATTATTCTCACACACCAAGACCAGGGAAAAATATCATGAAGTTATTCAGGCATGAGTTCCTGATATTCATGAGACAGGAAAACAACTCATTCCCAGCAGATAATTGATTGAATTGTATGTACCAAGATGCATATTTCTTAGTTATGAGGTCAAGTTATTTTACTGCAGTGAACTTACCTATAATAAATTCACAAAAGAAGGTTTCTTATGGAAGTATCACAATGACAAATAAAAAATATATTATTTTTTTAAAGCTTACTTCCATCCTACATTCTAGGTTAGAAAACTTCTATTTGCCAAATCGAAGTACATTAAAGCACGTACGGAAATAAACACCAGTGTTGCCAACACAACATAGTTGTTTTGCGCGAGGTATATGTCAAAGATGTGCAAAATCTGATCGAAAAGCGCGAAATACAAATTCATAAAAAAATGTATATGGTGTGTAAGCTCCAACGGTCGGTGTTTTAGCATATAGATCGACTGGTAATGTAATTGGTAAACAGAATGTATAAAAGCAGAAAAGTTGGTTCGGTCAATCTTTTTGAACCGTCCGTTTTATCGTTATTTAATTTAAAACTGAATAGTTATGGTTCTGAGGCACTCTGATGTGAAACGGATCTGTGGAGATATTGCAACAACACTGAGCGATAACAACCTGTGAGATGTAACCACAAACCCATACTTATATGCACAGAACATAAATAAATAGAAGAGATGGTTCTGGTCAATTTGTTTTGTGTGTTTGCACAAAAAGTGCATTTCGTCACATTTTAAATTTCTGTACCTGTTGTACACTTTTGTTGACTAAGAATTAAGAATTAGTATAATGAATAATGATGCATTTTGAAGCATCGGAAATTTGAACATTCAAGTTTTTAGATAAAACATTTAACGAGAATTTTTGGATTTCACAGTAATGATATTTTTAGTGAACGTAAGATGTTGAATAACTTTTTTCGAGATCAATTGCCCTAACACCAAACTGATATTTTTGCACTCGACGTGCGTTTCGCCAACAAAGTTAGCATCCTCAGGAGAAGAAAATTGATACCTAGTCTAGTCTGGTTAATCCTTATATACTAAATTTGTTACCTGAGGTTGTATACCTGAAGTCCAATATGGAATTTCTCGTTAATTAACTACCTGCAAGTTCTTAGTAATTATTCTCTTCCTAAGAGAAGATTAAAAAGCGGGCTAAACGTGATGGGTCCCTTATCGCCATTCATGCTGTTCTTACATTTTGCTATTTCTAGACTCTTACATGCATCGAGTAGCCTGGTGTCATGCACATGCTTGATCAGTTTCAGATTGTTTTCACCAATTTTGTGGTCCTTATCTAAAGCATGTTGGGCGACACTGGATTTTTCTATCCTTCCGTATTTCATGTGTGCACAATACTCCTTGAAGCGGGTTTTAATCGCTCGTCGGCTCTGGCCAGACTAGACATCAATTTTTCTTCTCCTGAGGATGCTAACTTTGTTGGCGAAACGCGCGTCGAGCGCAAAAATATCAGTTTGGTGTTAGGGCAATTGATCTCGAAAAAAGTTATTCAACTTTCAAACCAAAGGTTCCAATCTAATCGTTATTAACGTAAGATGTGCTGTGGGGATGGCGCAGGTGCTTATTTCTTTTATATCATAAGGAAATATTGAATATTACTTATGATAACCGTTTGATACATCATGCAGGAGACCTCAATAGCTACTGAGGTCACCGAACTTGAATTTCATTAAATTATTACTCGTGGCTTCATCTCAAATCTTTTGTTTATATAACTCTGGTAGTGAGTCAGAAGTTGAGAAACTTGTGCGAGCTAATGACTAACGAGGTCTTATCTTTTAACGTGTGATTCCTAACTGTTCAAACTAATGAAAATATACATTTTTAAATAATTTTGTTCTAAAACTTTTTATTCAAACGAAAAGTTGAATGAGATATTAGGAACAATGGCAGTTTTCATGTGCTATAGTACTCCTAGTCCTCTTTCCAGATTTTGCATCAGATATTCAACATTTTAAAGTTGAATGATTACATGCACCTAACCGCACCTTTTTCCATACAAATGCATATGTTTTCTGAAAAATTCCAATTATCACAAAAAATTTCGCCAACATCTTCATGAAATTAATGACTTAAGTGTCCACCAAGATCTATCTTCAAAACTAGTGAGTTTTGAATTATTGCTCAAATTTTTAAATAAAATATCACAAGGAAATTTGAGATTTTGAGCCATACTTTGATTTTTATTTATTGTTTAGACTCTATGAATAAATCTTCAAATTGGGTAAAACCGATTCTATCAATAATAATGAATGTCTTTATTATTAAAAAAAAACAAGATTGAGGAAATATATTCACAGAATATTTTTTTAAATAAAGGGCGAAGTTCAGTTCCTGAGTAAATTCAACAACTGAACTGTTCTTCCACTTAACCCTGAAAAAAAATGAACATGACAAAAGAAAAACAACTTTTTGTGTTTTTTTATTTGTATAATTAACATACACAGTGCAAAATGAAAAAAATCGCTGATGGTTTCAACTTTTGACACATGTATGGTAAATACCTAATAAAATTGTTCTGTACAACAAACATATCATTGCATTTGATTATTGGGATGATTCAATAACGAAACAAAAAGCTTGGTTACCAGACAGTTTGCTAAGTACCTACTTAATATCAATTCATTTCGGCAAACTTTTCTCAATATTTCTTTCAATCTTACAAAATAATGCACTAATATGAGGTTTGTTTCCTTTGATTATATACACAACATTAAGACCAGGTAATTCTCATATGTACAAAATAGTTATTACCCTAAAATCAAAAATTATGTTTACAGTTGAACTCACATTATAGTAAGGGTTTATATTAGGTTTTCAGTTTTGTAATAATTAACTAAATTCTTTGCTCACCTTCAAACTCGACCAACAGAAATATATTCAAAATTATCTCGCAAGAACTGATCTCTATCAAACTTTTAAAAGACCAATTAATTTTTTTTTCAAGTATTTCTTATTCGCAGAACAAACTCATTCATTTGAACATGAAACAACCTGAGTTCACATATCAACCCAACTGGAAATATTCAACTTATTACCAACTTCATCGTTACGTTCGATCAGAGAAGTTGATAACCAAAGAGATGGTCGATAAATTTTTGTGTAGTCATATCAGGGAATCAGTTCTTTGGCTATATTACCGACATGATGGTACGCCATCAAAATCAAGTAAGAAAGTTTGAGAACAGGTAACGTAGAAAGAAATGGATTAGAATAAAAATACCCATTTAGTGGCCTGTACGATTCTTAGACCTCACACTGCTGAATTTCTGTCTATGGAGATGTGTTAGAGCGCTCTATGTTTACTGAGAGCAACCAACGAAACTAAACAACAGATAATTATAGAAATGGTTTCTTCTACTACAAGATCAACTTTGATCAAAGTTCAAAGAGAAATTATAGATAAACATAGTTATTGTGCATTACTTAAAATAGAACATTGTTTGAACATCTATGAATAGAAGCTTTTAAAAATTGTTTGATGTTTTTGCCAGTACTGAA